AAACGAAGACAGAGAGCCTGCTGCAGTAGGTGTATATACACCTGAAGCTGCACCAGCAGACGCAGACCAGCAGCAGCAGCAGCAGCAAAGCGAACCCAATAGCTTCCCAGATGATGACCCGCAGAACTACTACGATGACCATCAAGAACCTGAGCAGCAGCAGCACCACCTGCAGCACCAGCAGCAGCAACAGCAGCAGCAGCAGCAGCCGCAGCCGCAGCCCCAGCCATACCATGAAGGGGAGGAGCCCCTTCATGAGGAAGATTTTCAGGATCAGTATTACATCCACGGGGGGCAGCCAGAGCAGCAGCAGCAGCAGCAGCAGCAGCAGCAGCAGCAGCAGTATCCTATGGAAGAAGAAGCAGATGATGATGATGATCAACACATGCTAAGCTACTCCAGCAACGCAGACCATCTGCAGCAGCACGAAGGAGTCAGACAGCAGCAGCAGCAAGATGAATCCACTTACATCCACGAAGAAGAGCTGCCAGAGGAAGACAGCAGCAACGTGTATGGGCAGCAAGAGTCGCAGCAGCAGCAGCAACAGCAACAGCCACAGCAGCCGCAGCAGCAGCCCTCAGCAACCCACGCTGGAGAGGCAGCCACTGCCGAGCCGCAGCATCAAGATGAGGAGCTTCTCGCTGCACCGCATGAGGAGCAGCATCACCTGCAGCAGGAGCAGCAGGAGCATGAGCATGACGAAGCCAGCCCTGCTGCTGCTGCTGCTCCTGCTGCTGCTCCCGCTGCTGCTCCTGCTGCTGCAGCTTCATCAACAGCTGAGGGTGAGCCCCCCGCTACGTCTCCCCCTGCTCACCAGCTGGGCGAAGAACAACAGCAGCAGCCGCAACCACAACAGCAGCAGCAGCAGCAGCAGCAGAGCCATGCAGCAGCAGACCCTCGCCAAGGGCATTGCAGCGCAGACGAGCTTGCTGCTCTTGCTCGTCACTTTGAAGATGTAAATGCATGTCCTGCTTTCGGGTGTATTGACAGCGAGAGCAACAACTACCTGGAGTTGATAGAAAAGCATTATAAAGATAAATATACTGCAGCAGAAGCAGCAGCATTTGCAGGGGTCCTTGCTGCATGTCATTGCCGATGCCCCGTCATGCGCTGCGAGGTTGATTATGTAAACAAACACAGCAGCAGCAGCTGCAGAGCAGCAACAAAGACCTTCTGTCTTCAGTCTAACGATAAATTTATTCAGAAATGTAATCTTGCTGCTAAACAAATACCGAAAGTCTACGACATTGAAGCAGACCCCCACGCATTTAAAACTCCCTGCACTGTCTGCGAGTCAGCTGCACAATACACATATCCTGCTGCTGCTGCTGCTGCTGCTCGTGCTGCTGCTGTTAGTGCTGCTGCTGCTGCTGCTCGTGCTGTTGTTGCTGCTGCTCGTGCTGCTGCTGTTGCTGATGATGGTGCTGCTGATGTTGCTGATGATGGTGCTGGTGCTGTTGCTGATGCTCGCGCTGCTGCTAATACTGCTGCTGCTGCTGCTGATGCTGCTGCTCGTACTGCTGCTCATGCTGATGCTGCTGATGAGGATGGTGCTTCTGGTTCTGTTCTTGCTGCTTCTTGTCCTGCTGCTCATGTTGGTGCTGCTGCTGCTGCTCGTGCTCCTGCTTCTGCTCCTGCTGCTGCTTCTCATGCTACTCGTGATGCTTTTCATGTTTCTCTTGCTTCTAAAGCTGCTGGAGTGGCCGCTGCTGGTGCTGCTGTTGCTGCTTCTGCTTCTGCTGCTGCTGCTGCTTCTTTTGCTTGTGCTTGGGCTGTTGCTGCTGCTGCTGATGGTGCTGCTGCTGCAGCTGCTGTTATTATTCTTTAACTTTGCTTCCTTCGTTGTACGCTTAGGGAAGTGATAACTGAGGAGACTGAAGCTGCAGCAACTGCAGCAGAAGCAGCAGCACTGGAAGGCAGCAGCAGCTCAGCAGCAGTAACAACTCCTCTTCTTTCTGTCCTCTGCCTCGCTGCTGCTGCTGCACTCCTACTCTAATAAACAAAATAAGCAGCGGCAGCTGCAGCCGCTGCTCCAGCAGCAGCACAGGGAGCAATAATGCTAGCAGCAGCAGCCGCAGCAGCAGCAGCAGCGCTAGCCTGGGTTAGATTGTACGCATGCAACAGCAAGACAGCAGCAGCAACAACAACAGCATACAGCGGAGAGGCAGCAAGAGGTGGCGTCATTTGTGTCTTCCTGCCGTTAGCAGCAGCAGCAGCAGCAAACGCAGCAGCAGCAAAAGCAGCAGCAGTAAAAGCAGCAGCAGCAGCAGCACACCGCATATAAGATATTCATTAGTGCATGCATAAAAAAGCAACAAGACCAACATTCATATAACTGCATGCATGCAATAGGCCTGCAGCAGCCAGGCAAGGGGTGTGTATACACCTCAACAACACGAATTCGTAGAAATAATAATATATATACTGAAGTGCATGCATGCAATACAAGTGCATGCACTTCAATATAATACAGCTGCATGCATGCAATGCGTGCAGTAGTCCGGCATGCATGCATGCATGCACGCATGCATGCATGCATGCAATACAGCTGCATGCATGCAATACAACTATATTGTATGCATGCACGCATGCAGGCATGCAATTGAATTGCAAAGGAAATAAGAGACAAGAAGCCATCTGCATGCAAATGGGGCTTGCTGCAGTTGCTGCAGAATGCATGCATGAATTCGCATGCATGCAAACCTTCTAGAGGCAGAGACGAATAAGACAATATGTTTTCCTTTAAGCTATTCGAAAGGACCCTCTGCTGCTGCTGCAGCTGCAGCAGCAGCAGCAGCAGCAGCAGCAAACCCAACAGCACTAACAAATGCAGCAGCAAAACGCGGTATCAAGACACAGCATATATATAAATATTACCATATTTATATTATCGCAGCAGCCAAACGATGAAAAAAAATATATCCTTTCTCTTCTCTACTTTCCTTCGAGTATACGAAAAGGCGATTAGCCTTTTGCCTCCACCCTAAAGACCTTTTTCTGCTGTTTTTATTTTAATTAAAATGCAATATCTCTCTCTTGCGGTGCAGCAGAACCCCTTGTTGTTCCCTCTGTGTAAACACAACTCAAAAGACCCCCGAACGCCTGTTTATTTGCTGCTATTCAAACGATCTACGCCTTGATAAGAAGATGCATGCATGCAAGCATGCATGCATGCAATAGAACAACAGCATTTGAACACCTTGCATGCAGTTGAACATGCATGCATGCATGCATGCATGCATGCAATACAACTAACTACATGCATGCATGCAATACAACTGCATGCATGCATGCATGCAGTACAAAACTTACTGCATGCATGCAATACAAAACTAACTGCATGCATGCAATACACATGTAGTACACAAGGATGGTGCAGTACACTGGCATGCATGCACATTCAAACTATCTGCATGCATGCATGCAATTAGTTGTATATAATGCTTGAGACTGCAGAGGGGAGATGGTTAAAAGGAGAAGATCATCCTCTTGCAACGCTTTGGAGTCTAATACCTGCATGCACGGCAGGCGCAGCAAAGCGCGGAGCGTTAAGTTCAGCAGCAGATTATACGTTTATAGGGCATCTAAACTCAACTAAATGAATGAAAAATGCAGCTTTAAACATTTAATTAAAACTAATACCCCAATAGAAAGCTACAGATACATGCGTTGCTACGCGCACACAGAAGGAGCGCCGGTCGTGGGGCCCCCTGTCCACTGGACCAATTGGTTTAGTATTTGTTGACTAAAATTAGGTAAGGCGTTTCCTTTTACTTTCCCTATTTATTACGTACGGGAAGATCACTGCATGCAGAAACAACAGATTCAGAAACCCTAAACAGCAAGAGGAAGGGTGCGGGCGCTCCACTTGGTTCGGGGCTGTAGGAAGGAGATAAAATTGAATAAACAAGCAGGAAATGGTATTTTTCAAAGTTCTAAAGTCAAAACAAATCACAAAAAGTTCTTTCTTCGGACAAATCGTTTGATTTTCCAGCGCCTGTGATGCTGGCATACAGATCGATACGGAGTACAAGAGACTGGTAATAAAAGGAGTGTGGGATGTTTCCTTGTGCGTTTCCTCTATATTTCTAGTTTTAATGTGTTTTATTACCTTCTACAAAAGAAAAATGAGGGAAAATGTCAGCTTTCTGTTCCAATCCAACCGACGGAAGCTGCGTGTACACCCGCAGAAGTTGAACGGCGGGCGGCGACGTGGCTGCCACCGGACCCCTGCGCTTTTGATTAGAAAAAGGGAAGAAAATATTGAAAAATAGGAATAGTTGTGTAGTTTTATGTTTTTATTCTAACTTGTCCCTTCTCTCTGCCTTAATTCATCCGCGTTTTCCCTTCAATTACTTGCGATCTTCTTCGCTTTCTTATCTGCGGTCCATCACTCTGGTCGCGAGTCGTGTGTGGGTATTTATTTTTGATATTTTCGACTATTTTGTCGGTATTGTTTGTTTTATTTCGTATGTTCGTATAATATTTCTTTTTTCTCCTTCATTGGATTGATTTCTTTATCGACGATGAGTTCAAAGAAAGATTCCATACGGCTTTCCACCTACGACGAGTTGTTCAGCTCGCCTCCAAAGGGACCCCCAAAGTCTTCTTTAAAGAAGCTTCGCAGCTTCCGTCGCCGTTCTGTGCAGCAGGGAAAGGGAGCTGAGTTATTTGCTGCTTTACAGAAGCAGCGGGTTGTGATAGATGAGAAGGCGATCCATTTTGTTGCAGAGGCGAGAGCAGGCAAGCGAGCAGATGCACGAAACTCTGTCTTTAAATTAGCTCAGAGATATCAGGTGTTACCCGATAGAGAGCGCATGCAACGAATAAAGCAGCTGTATGGTATAGTGAAGGAAAATGAAGATTCAGGAGATGAAGCATGGGAGGGCAGTGATACTAAACTGCCAGGTAAGCTTGACCCTGAAGCTTACCTAAGGTTAATTCGCAAACAAGACAGTGAAGATCATGAACATTTATTAAATGAGATGGAGGAAATCAATCAGGAGACTGCCGGACTTTCAGAAGATGTCGTTACACCCGAAGGCATTACAGATGAACATACACTTAACGAGCTCGAAATGATTATAGAAGAAAACGAGAAAAAATCTTCTTCTGAATCAGAACAAAGTAAAACAGAAGAAGAAGAAGACGAAGACAAATCCAGTGATGAAGACAGCGATGTGGACTTTGATGAAGACGATATGAAAAGTATGCACCAAGACAGAAGACCAGTATTTGTTATTTTTAGGGTTTAGGGTTTAGGGTTTAGGGTTTAGGGTTTTTCTTCGTTCTCATTTTATTTCCACCTGTTTTCTCTTTTGCTTATTGCTCATGTTAGTTTTTATTATTACTACATTTTATCGTTGTGTATTATTATTATTATTACTATTACTATTATTATTATTATTATTATTTTCTGTATTATTTTTCGGTGTTCTGTACCATTGTTATTATTTATTATTATTTGCTTTTATTATTAGTACTAGTTAGAGTTATAAATATTATTTATTGTGAATTGCTGCTGTCTTACTTATTGTTTATTACTGTGTTGTTTAATATTAATAGTATTCTAATAATAATAAATAATAATAAAAATTTATTAGAAATATCTATTTATTTATTTACTCCATCTACTTTGCATCTCCCCACAACCTTTACTCGGTTTTTTATTTTGTTTTGTTTCATTTGTTTTGTCGCTTGTGTACAAATACGAATGAATGTAGATATAAATGCATATATATATATATAAATATATATATATATATATATAGGTATAGTCAGCTGCAAAGGGGTTTGTTTGTTATCATGGGTTTCACGAAAGTTTTGATGTATTCTAATTTTGTTTTTCTTTATTTGTTTTTGTTTGTTGAATTTTTATTTTTATTTTTATTCGTCTGCCTTCTTGTTGATGGCTGCTACTCTCTATATTCTTTTTCTGCATTTTCTTTTTGTTTAATTTATTTGTTTTACTATTTGTTTTATTTGTTTATTTGTTTATTTGTTTTGGTTTGTTTATTCGTTTTATTTTTTTAATTTTTCTTTTATGTGTTTCTGTGAATAGGCATGCGTTGACTTGGAGTTAGTTGTTTGTTTATATTATTTGTTTACAGAATTATTTATATTTATTCTTATAACATAAGATTAAATATAGATAATATGTGCTTTTTCTCTTGTAAACGATTAAATGTATAATATTTACTTATATATATTAATGATGAAAAGTTTGTTTATTCTTTCTGCAGCATTAAATTCTCTGCAGCGAGAGTTTGTAGGAAACAATTTATATCAGTGGTTTAAAGATATTCAAAAGGCATATGAAAGCGGAGTTAAGCTCGTTAAAGTAAATAGAATGGGTTATAAGTTCATTCGCATTGTTACAATCAAAGATATGGTGAGAAAAAAGAATTCAATCTTTTCAAACTTTTTATGCATATATATCTCAGGTGTATGTACAGCTCAACTCACCACGCCGCTTCTTCTTCTTAGTTTTAATATATATAAATAAATACTTTTAATTCTATCGTTTAAATATCTTCAAATTATCAACGTATCATACCGTCACGTTCAGGTGTACATGCAGCTCACATTTATTTTTCTTTTTTTCGTATGTTCCTTTCTTCGTTTCTTTAATGTCTTTTTCTAAAGTTTATGAATAATTAAAGAGTATTTTCTTCTTATTTCGTTGCTTCCTGCTGCAGATGCTGACGATCAATCAGCCGCACACGCACTCGCAGGCTAAGGTAGATAGACAGGTTGCCCTGCATACAATTGTCTCTGTTGTCTTGGGAAAAGGTTCAAAAGAATTTGCAGCATTAGAAGAACTCGTTAAAGAAAAAAAAGAAGCAGAGGAATTCAAGTGAGTCGGTGCATGCATGCATGCTGCTGTTGCTGCTGCTGCTGTAAGCATGCTGCTGCTTCTGCTGCATGCATGCATGCTGCTACTCTTGATGCTGCTGCTGCATTCATGCTGCTGCTGCATTCATACTGCTGCTGCTGCTTCCATTCTGGTGCTGTAGCATGCACCCTGCTGCATGCAGCTGTGTGCATGCTGCTGCTGCATGCTGCTGGGTGCTGCTGCTGCTGTGCGTATATTGCTACGTTCTAATACAATGCATATCAGCAGCAGCAGCAGCTGCTGCTGCTGCTACTGCATGCACGGCTTGTTTTAAACTAACCTCTCGTACAGAAGATTGATTGTTTTTTTGTGTGTATTTCTTTTTTATTTTGTTTGCATTGCTGCATGCATGCTGTTGATTGTTTTGTTTTATTTTTATTTTTTTTATTCTTCTAAATAAACTAATTTTTTTTGCTGAGTGTTTCTGGCGATGTCTTCGTCTTCGTTTTTTGTTTGTTTTTTATTTATTTGTTTTCTTTTCTCTTTGCGTTTGTTTATTGATATTTAATTAGCTTGCATTATATTTAGTTAAACTATATTTATATATATATTTAAATATAACTTAAATATATATATATATTAAATATAATTTTATATATCTTTTCTTTTGCTTTTCTCAGTCCTAAGGGGACCGTTTGCTGCGTCGTGAGTTTGCCTCGCAACCGAAGTCTGTCGCTAATCTTTTTGTAAGTATTTGTTTGTTTATTTGTTTTTATTTTATTTTTAATTTAAATAAAATAATATATATAAATATATACACACACTCTCTCTCTGTCTTCTTTGTCTTTGTCTGTCACGCTGTCACCTCCTCTCTGTTTTGCTTCTGCGGGTTTGTTTTTCTGTCTGTCTCTGTCTCTGTGTCTCTCTATCTGTCTGTCTCTCTGTCTCTCTGTCTCTCTGTCTCTGTCTCTGTCTCTGTCTCTCTGTCTGTCTCTGTCTTTGCTAGTTATTTATATTATATTTTATTTTTAATTTTATTTGATATCTCTGCTGTATTCTGTTGTCTCTCTGTCTTTGTTTGATTATTTATTTTTTATTTCTTAGATCTAATCTTTTGTCGCTGTCAGTTACTCTGCTGCTTCTGCTGCTATTGCTGCTGCTGTCGCAGCTACTGCTGCTGTTGTTACTGCTGCTGCTGGTGTTGTTGCTGCTGCTGTTGCTGTTGCTGCGGCTGCTGCTGTTGCTTCTGCTGCTGCTACTTTCGTTGCCATGCAGCTGCTGCTGTTTTAGCTGCAGCTCGTGTTACTGTTGCTGTTGCTGTTGTTGTTGTTGTAGTTGCTGCTGCAGTTGCTGCTGTATCTGCTGCTGCTGCTGCAACTAAAGAAGTAAGACATTTGAATTATTTTATTTGTTTTTATTCAGAGACGAAGACAACCGGAACGGGTTTGTCTTCTTCTTGAGGGTATTAATAAAGAAAGCACGTGCTGCAGTTGAGCAGCTGGAGCAGCAGCAGCAAGGGCATGCATGAAGCAAATAAAAAACAGAAGTAAAAGAAAAGATCAGCAACACAATATAGTCTCACCCTTGCTGCTGCTCTTCCTCCTTTTGCTGCACCTGTTGCTGCTCATCCCGTTGCTGCTGCTGTTGATGCGGCTGCTGCTGCTTGTGCTGCTGCTGCGCGCGTGTAGCAGCTGCTGCTGCAGCGTATGCAGCAGCAGCAGCAGTAGTAGCAGCAGTAGCAGGAGGGTGCAGCGAGCCGCTTTTATAAATAGAGATGGAGACAGCTTCAGACAAAAGAGGAGCTGCAGTGAGACTGACGCAGCAGCAGCAGCAGCAGCAGCAGCAGCAGCGACAGCAGCAGCAACGACAGCAGCAGCAACAGCAGCAGCAAGAACAACAACAGCAGCAACAACAACAGCAGCAGCAACAAGAGCAACAAAAACGCCAGCAGCAACGACAGCGGCTGCAGCCATATCAACGACGGGCTCTCCTGCAGCAGCAGCAGAAGCTGCAGCAGCAGCAGAAGCTGCAGCAGCAGAAGCTGCAGTAGCAGCGGAAGCTGCAGCAGCAGAAGCTGCATTAGCAGCGGAAGCTGCAGCAGCAGCAGGAGAGACCCTTCGGGTGTACATTGAGGTGCTGAGCGTTTATAACTTTTTTCTCTTCATTGGCAGTGACACGCAAAAAAAGAAATAAAAATGCAGCTTAAAGACTGCAAACCCTAAACCCTAAACCCTAAACCCTAAACCCTAAACCCTAAACCCTAGATTAGATAAAAAAGGAGGCAGGAGGAATGCAATGTGCAGGTTAAAGGCGGCAAACGCTAAACCCTAAACCCTAAACCCTAAATCCTAGAGGAGTATAATATTCTCAACACCGAGAAACCCTAAACCCCAAACCCTAAACCCTAAACCCTAAACACTAAACCGTAGGCAAGCCAATGCAACTCGAGGGTCCGAGGATAAAGACAGAATAATGAAGGAAGAAAAACAAACAAAAGAAGAGAGTAAACCCTAAACCCTAAACCCTAAACCCTAAATAACAAGCAGAGAAGAGAAAGAAGACAGAGGCAGAGAGAGACAAAGAATAGGGTTTAGGGTTTAGCCGATTGGTTTACTATTTCTAATATTTATTGTTTATATTATTTCTAGGGTTTAGGGTTTAGGGTTTAGGTTTTCTTCGGTACTTCTCGCTTAATGACTTTAATCTCGCTGTTGCTTCCGCATTCAACAAAACAAAAGATAATGTAGCAGCAGCAGCTGCTGCTGCTGCTGCAGCAGAAGGTAACGCTGCTGCTGCTGCAGCTCACTGCTGCAGCTGCTAATGCTAATGCTGCTGCTGCTGCTGCTGCGGCTGAAGCAGTTGCTGCTGCTGCTGCCGCTGCTGGTGAAGCGGGGGCTACTGGAGCAACGTGAGAGCATCTGCTGCATCTGCTGCAGGATTTGCTGCTGCAGCATCTGGTGCAGCAGCAGATGTGTTGCTGCTGCTGCTGTTGTTGCTGTTAGCAGCAGCACCTTACCTCCTAGGGCCCACGGCGATCAGCTCTCCCGTTCCACCCCCCACCCCCTAAACCCTAAACCCTAAACCCTAAACCCTAAACCCTAAACCCTCAGCGTCCATACTTCTGGAATTCCCACTCTGCATTATCGAGAGGACAGACCTGCCGCG